AAAAGCTATGTTATTAGTGAGTCAAATAGGCTATATTTTTTAATTTTCAGTGTAACAGTATTAAATGTAACTAGATTGTTTTTTTATAAAATACAGTAAACATTGAAAAGTAAGCTAACCGCCATATTTAGAGTTATTTGTTCACTTAATTTGGCCCTTAGTAAAGTTACAGTAATAATTAATTGAACACAGTTGAACCTCGATAAGTTAAAGTCCAAAGGAAACACAAAATATTTTAAGTTATCGAAGTTTTTAAGTTATCAAGGGTCTATGTTATAGAGGTTTTGGGCTCTGATAGGAAGGGAACATATTATTTTTTGAAGTAATATAGGTTTTTAAGTTCCCGAGGTTTGAGTTATCGAGGTTCTATTGTATTTACTTTCCTTTCAACATCTTTGTAAAGTAGAAAATGTTAATTACTTTGATGATAATTGTAAAAGAAGTAGAAACGTTGAATTTTAATAAGCCCATGAGTAATTATTTCGTGAATATTTGAACGCAATAATTTACAACATTCATTGTAAGTTTATTAATATTTCACAAAGCGTATTTTACTGTTTACTTCTTATTGATAACTAGCTGTTCCCGTGCGGCTTCATCCGCATGAAATTATGGAAATTTTATTTTATTGTTTACATTCATCAAATTATTAATAGCAAATGTCAAAATGACATGACATAACAAACCTTGGCAATCTTGCTTCCTTAATGTTGGCAATAACTTATGGTCTCTTTCCCACATTAGGGTTTTTATCCAAAATATTTACCCCTAAGTTTAACGACGTGAAAATATATAGTCTAAAGCGTGACGTAAGTGTGGGGCTTTTTACTAAAAAAAGAATTATTCAAAAATATGCTGTAATTACTGACATCTTAGGCCACAAAGAAGTGTGTGTTTACGCTTTATTATAATAGTATAGATTTATACGTTAAGTTGCTTTGATTTAGTAACAATGTACCCGTGGAATTCCACCACACTGACACTTGTATACAAACGTCACATGTATACATTTTGTATACAAGTGTCGTATGTATACATGTATACAAGTATAAGTGTAGTGGAAGTCTACAATGTTCGTATTAAGTTTAAGTTGCAAGTTAAGTAAATACTTCACACCTGACGGTAAGGTTATTAAGTGAAGGCGAAGCGCTCGCTCGGTTATTAACTATATTAATTTCCTCCAATGAACTACTTCTATCGATAAAATCAAGTTGCTACCCTTAAGTTACCACTCCTGAAACACTTTTACAAAAGTTATCGATGTCTCTATTTTTACTAAGACATTGAGAGGGACGGCACGTGTTTTTGTACTGGTGTGTGTCATTAGAAATTAGTGTAAAATTGTAATGAAGGGCCAAACCCTTTTTTTTTCTTTATTTTTAGAAATTTAATTAGTGAATTTGTGTGATTGGTTAGTTGACATTATTGTAATACGTTTTGTAATTTTATGTTTTATAGTGAAACTCGTTTGTATATAAAAATGAGCCTTTAAAGCTGTGAAAAATATATTCAGTTCGATACCAATCGAAGTAGATTTGCATATTTTAATAAAGCTTCAAAGATTATCTCACTTCGAATTGATATTGTTTTAATCCGCACATCATGTTTATTGAATCTGCTCCATCGGCGAGTATATTCTGATATTTTATTATTTTATCGATAAACGAGCTGTTGCCCGCGACTTCGTCGTATAAGAAGTCGCGTAGTATAAGAAAACATACAAACTATATAAATTACAAAAAGTTACGTATCCCTCGGGAACCGGACATTTCTCGGAGATGAAGCTTATCCCATGTGTACTCCAGACTTTGTTTTATATCTGTGCCAAATTTCATTAAGGTATGTTGAACCGTTGCCGAATGATCGAGTAAACATTAAAAAACTAAATTAATGAATCCCACGGGAACCGTATCTATTCCCGGGACAAAAAGTAGCCTATGTGTTCTTCCAGACTATGCTCTAAACCTGTGCCAAATTTTATGGAGATCCGTTCAGCTGTTTAGGCTACAAACACTAACAAACATCCATCCATCTATCCATCCATCCATCTAAACTTTCGCATTTATAATATTAGTATTAGTAAAATTAAAACAAAAATCAAGATATTTTATCAGTAAAAGTTTAGGTACTTAGTACTTTATTTTAGTTCATTATAATAAATGTATATCTAAGTAAGACTTGATTTAGAAATAACTTAACGTCCATTTAAATAAAAAAAATCAAAGTGCAAATAATCAAAAATTGTAAATACATTTTAAAGCATGATTAATTCCTACGTATAGAACGTTTTTAATTTAAAAAATTGAAATGTAAAAAACACACAGTAATTAGAAATAAAAAAAAAAAAACTCAATTGAACCAGTTCAGTGCGGTGCAGTTTCATTTCACGTGAAAGTAAAAAAGAGTACATCGGACGCGGGATCAATCTTCACTTCTCTAATTGAAAACCAAACAAAAAGAGCCCATCGATGTGAAATGGCTTTTCTATCCTTTTTATTATCTACAACAAAAGACACGAAACTACCAATAGTTGCAATAGCTTTTTCAATGCATTTTATTATTAAAGATTACTAAAGCTAAAAATATCACCACCATCTAGGAATTCGGCTACTAGGGGCGTCTCTTAGACTGCGGCCACGAAACTTGCGCCGAGGAAAGCGGGGCACAGTGGGTTCAAATCTCGACCTACATAAACATTTTCATCTGATTTCATTTGAGGATTTAGCCTACTGTGCTTCTTTAGACACATCGCCCGACAAGTTTCGCGATCGCGGCCATAGACATGTACAATCTCGGTAATCCGCGGTATTCCAATTACAAAAA